AGATTGCCCCATCTTCCACCCGAGGAGTGGCTGGTGGGTTTGAACCGCCAGCCTTCTGGTTAGCAGTCAAGTGCCTTAGGCACTATGCTACCAGAGATCCTTAGGCATTGGAAATTCAAAGATAAATAATGATCCTTACCCCTACTAAGAGTCAGAAGTCAGAAATAATAATTCCAAGCTCAAGCTCACTGCCATCGAGTCAGTCTAGACTCATAGTGACTCCTCCTTGGGTTTCTGAGGCAGTATCTCTATAGAAGTAGATTGCCCAATCTTCCTTCCAAGGAGTGGCTGGTGAGTTTGAACCATCAGCCTTCTGGTTAGCAGTCAAATGCCTTAAGACACTATACCATCAGAGCTCCCAGAAATAACTACTATTTATGAAATTATTACTGGGGGCCAGGTATTATTTTAGGAACTTTGCACAAGTTATTTTGTTAATCTTCAATACTATGATGTAGGTATTGTAATTATCTTACCAATAAAAAAAAAAAAATAGGCTTAAAGATTAAACATCTAGCAAATGGAAGAGGTGGTAAGATCTGGGGTTTGCATGACACCAAGTTTATGTTCTAATATTGCATTATATGGTAAGTATTTGATATTCTGCTTTCCCAATTGAAGTATAGGGGAAAGAATATAAACTTGGAGTCATGCAAATCCCAGATCTTACCAGTTCTTCCATTTGCTAGATGTTTAATCTTCTAGCAAATAGAAAGGACTACTAACAGCTCTGTTATCAAAGATTTAATATTACTTGGCTCCACAATCAGCACCAATGGAAGCAGCAGTCAAGAAAACAGATGACACCGGGAAAATCTGCTGCAAAAGACCTCTTTAAAGTGCTGAAGAGCAAAGATGTCTCTTTGAAGACTAAAGTGTGCCTAACCCAAGCCATGGTCTTTTCAATAGCCTCATATGAGTGTGAAAGCTGGACAATGAGTAAGGAAGACTGAAGAAGAGTTGATGTTTTTGCGTTGTGATGTTGGTTAAGAATACTGAAAGCACCATGGACTGCCAGAAGAATGAACAAATCTGTCCTGGAAGAGAATGGCCAGACTTTGTCATGTTGTCAGAAGGGACCATTCCCCAGAGAAGGACATCACACTTGGTAAAGTGGAGGGTCAGTGAAAAATGGGAAGGGCCTCAACAAGATGGATCGACAGTGATGCTGCAACAATGGGTTCAGATACAGCAAGAATTGTGAGGCTGGCGCGGAACCAGGCAATGTTTTGTTCTGTTGTACACAGGGTCACTATGAGTTGGAGCTGACTAGATGGCACCTAACAACAATAACACTAAAGCTCTTGAGGAAAAAAGGATAAGGGTAGGTTTCACAAAACAACTAGTTTGTGAAGAAGGAAGAATCTTTACATATTGTTCGCATGGGATTGAAGTGCATTCCAGTTAAAAAGAATAAAACAAACAACAAAAAACCAAACTCACTGCTGTCGAGTCAGATTCGACTCATAGTGACCCCTCCTTGGGTCTCTGAGGTGGTAACCCTACAGAAGTAGATTGCCCCATCTTCCTTCCAAGGAGTGGCTGGTGGGTTTGAACCACCAGACTTCTGGTTAGCAGTCAAATGCCTTGGGCACTACACCACCACAGCATGTATAATTCCTAATATCACTAGTTAAAAGCCTGTTTAAAATATGTTTGCTGTCAATATTAATCAACACTCAACTAAAAAGCTTGTTAATTTTTTTAAATGCCAGTGTCTTTATAATCCTTTATTAAAAAAAAACCACAGTTTATAAGAAAACACACTGTAGTGTATGGATATCTACATTCTCAAACCCCCACTGTTTTTTCTCCTCCTTCCTTGCCAAACACCTTCAACTCCTCCTCCTTCATTACTCAGCTCATCTAACTGGTTATTTAACCTATTCATTCTACCTCCATAATATCTTTTGAATTATTCCTTTTTCACTATAGTTACGGCCAATGCCTTAGGTTGGGCCATCAGTCTTTCTCTGATGTTACCACAGTAGCCTTCTATTCACCACCTACATTCTTAAATCTCTGAACACTAACACCAATGTAATCTTTCTAAAATAGAAATCTCATGTTATACCTGCTCATCCTTTAACAGTTCTCTCTTTTCTGCCATATAAAATCTAAGTGTTTTGCACAGAACCAATGGAGAAAAAGTTTAAACTGTTTTTGCAAACATCTTCTACCATCCTAAAAGAAATTGTTGTAAACTCATGCAATAGACAAATAATAGCCTCAAACTCTTTGTACTTATTTCTTTTCCCTTTAGATTTTTTAATCACCTACCTGGAGTAAATGATGAAAAATTAGTAAATCCAGGTAGGGAAAACAAATTTACAGGCTGTGTTGGAAAGCCGAAAGGACAAAATAAACTGGGAGAAGGGGGGTGTGAAGCACTACTGCCTCGTTCCTTGTTTCCAGGTTTTTCAGGATGCTGATTTTGTTGGCGCATAAGTTCACTTAACATTTGCTTCAATCTATAAATGTTTAAAATATAAGCAATTTAAAATCCAGTTATATTACCATTTATTTACAGTACATTCAAGAAAAAATATATGTAAGAAATGATTCAACAGCCAGGAGAACCCAGACTGATGGCTCTAATACTTATGAAAACGAATACTAGCTTTCTCTGCAGGTTTAACTCCACAACCTAGCTGATGGAACAAGAACTGAATTTAGTTCTTCTGTAAGCCAGTAGGCATAACCATAAGAAACTCCTCTTTTTTTTGTTTACAGTTTTACTGAGGTATAATTATCCATAATTCACCCAATATAAGTTCAATACAAATTATTAAAAACAAAAGTCAAGTCTATAGTATTAAAAGGGAATACTAGGAAAAAATCATAGCTTATAAATTCTCCAGTGACAGAAGGTGGAGAATGCTTGAGTATGCAATTTGGCTCTTGCCCTTTTTTTCTCAGAAGGTAAGTGTAAAACCCTCGCTCGATTTCACCACTTAGTGTAGAGTCCTATTAGTTCTAAGAAACAGATTACCTCTGAACATTATTCTGTTGCCATGTTAGCTGAGTATAGCATTGGTTCAACTGATGCATTATAAGGTGTACTTGAGGAGATGCAACATTGCTGGGCATAACACTGTAAGGACCTGTGAGAAGAGTCTGTAGTAGACAAGAGAGAGTCTATAGAAAGAAAAATTTTTATAATAAATATGTAACTTACTGATGACATGAAAAATATTTGCATTGCTTCAAAAACTATAAACTATAATTAAATTTACTTTCATAGTAAATGTTACCTGCTGATCTTGCATCAAAGTTTGACAAATACTGACACTGAAATCAAGCTGTTTCTTCAGCTGATTAATTTGTTCTTGCCATTGTTCTTTCTCTTCTACATAAGAAAGTTCTGATACCCAACGAAGGTTTTCTTGACGTTGCATACTGATATTCTGTTGCCTTGTCTTGGCTAAGGGACGATAATTTCCATCTGCTGAAAAAGGGTCACTGTTCTTCCATCTAACAGAAGATTAAAAGCACTGAGTCATCGTATGTAATAATTTGGTTTTATAAGTATAGAAATAAAACTGATAGCCTGGCCACAGACCTGCATTTTCAAGTTCAAAAATCTATAAAGTATCACCCAGTGAAAACCATATAGCACAGTCTACTCTGACATGTCTGGAGTCAACCCAGGTTGGAAATGGTAATGGTATTTGTATGAAATATCCAGAATAGGTAAATCCACAGGGAAAGATACAGATTGGCAGCTAACAGGGGCTGGAAAGAGGGGAAAATGAGGAACAACTGCTTGATGGGTACAGGTTTCCTTTTGGGGTGATGAAAATGTTTTGGAACTAGAGAGATTGTACAATATTGTAAATGTAGTAAATGCCATTGAATTGTTCACTTTAAAATGGTTAATTTTTAAAAGGGAAAAAGAAAGTTTGTCTTTAAAGGACACTACATGTATTTGTGAAACCAAATGTACACGAACACTTCAATATAAAACAAATTCTGCTCTGTAAATCTGCACCCAAAGCACAATTAAAAAAAAAAAAAAAAGAACACATGTATCAATAAATAACATATAATAAAAATAGCAAAGCAGTGCTATATGAACCCCCTTATAAGTAAATTGTTATCCATATCTTTCTTAATTAGGACAAATTCCTAGAATTAGAATACACATTTTGAAATTTTGTTATCTATGGCCAAATTACCACTTTCCTCCCTCAAAAGACGTATCAATATACAATCCTATTATTTATTAATCCTATTATTTAAAACACCTTTGTCAATAAAATAGACAAAAATAATATGTTTCATATTTTGCATTTACTTGGTTGCTAGTTATACTGCAGACAGTTATCATATGGCAATTCCTTTAAAAACGAAAGGAATTCTGTAAATTAATGTCATTTGATCATTACTGGGATGATTGTATTTTTTGTTAATCTGTAAGAGTTCTTAATTTATAAGAATATTAAAGCTTTTTCTGGTATATGCTGCAAAAAAAAAAAAAAAAAAATATAACGTACAAAAATCAGGAGGAAAAACAAAAGAAATGTCCAGATTTCTGGACTCATGTAATTAATGTTTTTATATTCCTAGCCAGTCTTTTACCATATGTTTTCACACATTAATATTCACATAATTCTGTCTTTTGCAGAACAAATATATTATCACAAGTATTTTTCCATTCATCATGTTTTATGTTTAATCACATAACATTCTAATAACACGTAGAACTCCTATCATCTATTTGTTGCTATTGCTTTTAGGTGCTACTGAGTTAGCTCTGACTAATAGCGACCCTATGTACAACACTTACTTCATCCTCTTTTATTAATAAGTATTTTTCAGTTATGAATAACAATGTAATGAATATCTTTGTTGACAGATCATTTTCAATATTTAGGATTTTTCCTTTTTCCTTAAAACTGGAGCAAGGATCAAAGCTTATGAATCTCAATGCAGTCTATCTGGGATCTATTATTGTAGTACTCTTCAAATCAAGCAAAATATTAAAACACTAAAACCAACCTCTTTTTAGTTTCCTTTACATTATAGGAATTATGATTCACACAGTTAGGAGGATACATAGAAAAATTATCATTGGAACTGGCATCTTGCTCTTCTTCTTCCTCCTCCTCATCTGTCCGCATGACTCCTTCAGAAAGGTAACCATCTTCATCTCCTTCTTCATCCAGTGCACACTGGGTAGAACCTCCCCAAGTTGCCATTGTTCTAATGATTAAGAAATATAAAACAGAGATCACTCTGAAGACAAGTTAAGTATTTTACCACCTACTATGTGTCAGACATTATAACAAATATGTGTGTGTATGTATAAATAATCTTATTTAATCACAGTAGGAGCTCTGGTAGCATAGCGCCTAAGGCATTTGACTGCTAACCAGAAGGCTAGCAGTTCAAACCTACCAGCCACTCCTTGGAAGGAAGGTTGGGCAATCTACTTCCTTGGTGATACCGCCTCGGAAACCCAAGGAGGGGTTGCTATGAGTCGGGTCTAACTCAACGGCACAAAAGAACAACAATAATCACAGTAACTCTGTAAGACAGGTGGTACTCTGTACATCGCTGTTAAACAAAGTATGTTTAGTCTGCCTTCCATTAAACACTTCTTCAAATAAATTAATCATCATATCCTCTGGAACTTTTTTCCTAACTAAACTTCAATTAACTAACTTTTCCTTGAGTGTGTTTTTGAGATCAGCACTGTCCAACAGAACTTTCTGTAACAGTGCCTAATGAGCTCTATCTGTGCTGTCCTAATTAGCCATTAGCCACATGCCTATTAAGCATTCAAAATGTGGCTAGTATGACAGAAAATGAGTTAATTTAATAGCTACATGTATCTAGTGACTGCCAGCACAGTTCTAGACCAAGAGCTCTCACACCTAGATGCTCATCAAATCTAAGGAACTTATAAAAAGTATAGATGTGTGATACCCACTAAATAAAATAATACAGATGCAGTTTGAGCAACAAAATCCTTGTTGGGACTTGAAAATAGCAAAAAAGGAGGATGATGTTTAGTGCAATGTTTCAGAAATGCAAGCTAAGAATATTAAAAGGTAAGCTACAAAAAGTCTGGATTTTAGCATTTTAGATGTGAATATTATCATATATATAAAGAAGTGATTTTTAAACCAAACCAAACCTCTTGCTGACAAGTTGATTCCAACTCATAGCAACTTTATAGGACAGAATAGAACTGCCCCATAGGGTTTCCATGGCTACAAGTCTTTACAGAAGATTGCCACATGTTACTCCCAAAGAGTGGCTGGTGGGTTTTAACCACAGACCTTTCTATTAGCAGCTTGGTGAATGGAGGTGTGGCCATCCCCACTGCCACCTACCTTCTGGGCCCACAGGAACTCCATCACAGTCTGTGTGCTCAGACAGAGCCTTGGTGCCCTACCCAGTCCTCCACCGATTATTTCTTTTTCGCTTTCTTTTTCCCGGTGATTAGTTTGCTTGTATTAGTCCGTTTCAAACAAACTAATATTATTAATACTTTTGTCCTTTTTATTATTATTCTTAAT